ACACCAATTATATCCACCACTGGTATTGGGCACAGCATAAGCAGAAAGATTTCTGATGCCTATGAAATATGGTATTAAAAATACATACTTTCATTTTGAAATAAATTTGTTATGACTCTGTGTCTATACTCATTGCTTAATGTGCCACTTCATAGCAGAGTTTTAGTATGTGTTCATCATTTGCTTTTAATTTCACATTTAAACTATATGTTGGCATCTTTAAAAAAATTTTTTTTTTTTTTGTGATCTGGCGTATGTTGGTATCTTAAAATGTAATTTAAAATTTACCTCTGTGATATAAATTTTGTGTACATTTTACGAGAGGAGCCCTGGTGGCACAATGGTTAAGCCACTGGCTGCTAACGTACCAGCCACTCTGAGGGAGAAAGATGTGGCAGTCTGCTTCCATAAAGATTTATAGCCTTGGAAAACCCTATGGGGCAGTTCTGCTATGTCTATGGGGTCACTATGAGTCGGATGGCAACAGGTTTGGTATACATTTTAAAAATCCATATCTTAGAGCAATTATGTCTTATAAAATGGGGATTGTACTTGGGTGATATCATTGTAGTAAGAACATTTCTGATGACTGCAAATTACTTTAAAAATTAGTGTGACATGATGCTAATTCATTATACAAATACCTGCTTTCTTGATGAAATAAGTGTGGGAAAGTGGTATGTTTTATTTCAGAGGAAAGGATTACTAAAGTAATCTATTTTGGAAAACAAATAATGGAAAGTTAAATGTTACTAAGTTAGAACCACCTAAGACTCATTGTTCTGGGTATATGGAATCAAACCCAAAGTTTGTGAATTTGCAATTTGGTCTGACATGATTTATTGAATTTCAGAAAATCTGTTTGCTTTCAAAAGGCTTGAATTTAGTGTTGATTAGATCTCCAAAACCTTTAAAATAGGATTTTAATTTTAAATTGCTCAAAGATAATAGGGATGACAATTCTTTTAATAAAGTATGGAAGCATAGCTGAAGTGGAAAATTGTCTTTGCAAATATTATGTTTTGGCTTTATCAAACTCCAAATATTTACTAAATCTAGAATGGCCTCTTCTAAGTCAGTTTTGCTCCATCTACTTTAAACAAATATAACATCAAAGTTAAATATAAAAAGGGAAGCCGGAGAAATCCCCGTTATAAAATCACCATTATAAAATTAAACATGCTAAGGAAAAGAAATTTAGAAATATTTAAGAAATCTTTTGTTTTTAGAAAAATACTACAAAATCCTGTAGTCATGGGAAATTGCAGGTAATCCACAATACTTACCTATTTTGTTTTTTTAAACTGGTGTTAAACTAAGATAATTATAGCATTTCTAATTTAGCAAAAATTGGAATATTAATTGCTTGGAGATTTGGTCTCCAAATAAAACAGCAGAATATAGATTAATGTCCTACTTATAGACTACTGTTCAGTTTATGAGTTATTGCTTGTAGATAATTATTCAATTTTTTTTACACACCATAATATTAAGCATATATATATGTTGTTGTTGTTGTGATGTGCCATCGAGTCAGATCCGACTCACAGCGACCCCTCCTTGGGTTTCCAAGGCAGTATCACTATGGAAGTAGATTGCCCCCTCTTCCTTCCGAGGAGTGGCTGGTGGGTTTGAACCACCAGCCTTCTGGTTTGCAGTCAAGTGCCTTAGGCACTATGCTACCAGAGCTCCTGGTATATAAATATATAATTGCAACATTAGTTTACATAAAAATGTCATTTTTTGATCATGGCACCACTATAATGACAGCTTATATAAAGATAAGTTACCCTATAAATATTCTAAAGGAATTATTCACTTAATGACTTTCATAATGACAAACTCTGAATGGGTTGGAAATGTCTCTAATTTTATTAGTATTAATAAATAATAAATAAAAGCAAGTTTTAAATATTTAGGCATCAACCACAAATACAAAACTTTTCAAATAACAATGTATACTTTCCAGTTTTATATACCTTTAAGAAAGCAGTGATCAACAAGTTTTTTTTTTTTAATTTAAGAGACTTTTAAGGCTAAACAGTTCTTTAAAACTATCCAGTTACTTGAAACATTTTCTGTAGTTATATTTACTTTCTTGATTAAAAAAAAAAAAAAGTTAGTCCTTTAGCACTTAAAAAAAAAAAAACAAAACTTGGAGAAAACTGTCCATATAGCTGTCATCTTTCCTATCTTAGGGATATCTCAATAAACCAAGAAGCATATGTCCTTATCTTTTGTTTTTACAGGTTTCATAGCTACTTGCTAGTGGAATTGTTAAAGAAGTCACAGTACTAGGAAGATGTCCAATAACCAAAGAGGCTTTTGTAGCAACTTTGTTTTCACCCTTCACAATATTTGACATAAAAATCTATAATCATATAATTGAGTACTATTCATATCAAGAAGTTAGCTCTTGAATAATAATCAGATGAGGAGATTAAGGTTGTTTTTTTTTTTAAGTGTGTTTTTTATTGACATAAGATGACTCTTCCTGTTGCACTTTTTGCTGAGCACCTTGTAACTGCTCTAGTCTCCAAAGGTGAATAATTATCCTGGCAATAAAATAATTGCTTTTAACAAAAGAACTGAAAGCGTGAGCTAAGTCATCATATGATAAGAAAAGTATGCAATATATGCCTCTTGTTCATGCTATTGAGAGCATCCTGGTTCAACAGCAGCCTGAACTAATTCCTAATAATCATAATTTACTGCCTGCATTATGAATACAATAAAGTTGGGGAGACAGAGGGCATGATAAGGAATCATTGGAAGTGTTAACAGTAGATGGTCTATGTTCTAAGGTACAGTGTATTTATCACAAGATATAAACTTTAGTTTCTAAGAAGAGTAGCATTGTTAGTCATTAGTACTAGAAAGGTGTGGTACATGTGTGTGAAAACAATAATGATGATAAATATAATAATGTGCTGTCGAGCCTGCCTTCCAGTAGAAATAAAAATCATCCGACAAAGTCAAAGAAGACTGAGGCAATTAAAAATATATATATAATAATACATAATTATATATATATATATATATATAGAAATATATATATATATACAGGCTAAATTATCTGAGCTATTAGTTTACACATTCATCGTATAATGACTGTTCTAGAGTTAGAAATTGACAATATCCTAGTATCTTTAGGCTCTTCATTTTGCAAATGCTTTTCTTGTGTCAATATGACTGTCTATACTATCACACAACATCAATACTAGTGGGAATAATAATAGTACATGTTTTTGCAAGTTAACTTCCACTTCCAAATTTTATCACACCTTGTTTCTAATGATAAACGTACTTAACAAAAAACTGAACTGCTGAATTGAGGAAACTGCAAATTGGATTTCAAATGTTACTTTATCCATTAATGATAGAATTAAGAATTTGGCAATTTACTTTTAGCAAAATTATATCATTTACCTACTGCACCCAAAGAATGAATCAAACTTTTTATGTTCTAAATTTTTTGGCAGGGTGAGATGATAATCTCACTATTATTAAGAATAATGAAATAATGTGAGTGTTCAAAAAAATTTTACAGCAGTTATATCAGTTCAAATGTGTAATGAGATTCAAAATACAGATTAAAAAATGTCTAAAATTAAAGCATGTTTCTTTTGTATATTTGCTGAAAATTTAACCGCTGTGTAGATTTGGATAATTTCAAATAATTAAAGGAAGCCTCACAGTGTCAAATGTCTTTCTCTAAGAGAATGAAATTTGTCATCTCTTCAGTAAAATATTCACTATTTACTAAAATGTTTACTTTTTAAATTTTTTTCCCCAAATAATCGAATGGGCATATTCTCAATTTATTTTGATAAATAAATCTATTAAGATTCCCAAAGCATATATGGGGGGAGAAAAGGAGAGAGAGAGAAGTGAGAGAGACAAAGGAGGAGAAAGAGGAAGAGGAGGAGGAGGGAAAGGAGATGAAGATGGAAAGGAGGAGGAAGGAAGAGAAAAAGAGAAGAATCTCTATAATTTAGTTGTGAATTCTAAAATTGACAAGAAGACAAAATCAATAACTTTGTTTATGCATAAAAGCGCAAATGCTAAACTATGAAGAAAAAACTGCTACCAATGGAAGTACAGTTGGACAATCCTTTCTCCCTCTCTCTCTTTGAAATGCTCTAAGAGGTTTTCAGACAACTTTTCATCAATGAAGGACAGTTAATCTGACCCTCCAAAAGTGAAAGTAAGTGCTTTTGGTATTGAAATATAGCAAAATCTTGTTATCACATTTCTATTTTCTCCACAATTTCATTCTTCCTCAGTCCAATTAAATCTTCCACTTTCTTAAATAGTGAGCCCCTCTTGTCAAATGCTTAAGTGTTTCCCATAGTTTACACCCCACTTCTGATAATTTCCCTATCTTCAAATGTTTCTTCCCTTTATCAGCTCCAAAGATGAATTAAAGCAAAAGCTTGGGAAAAAGAAAGTCGGCTTCTGAAGTGTCCAGTGGGAAGGAGTGTATCTTGAGAAGAAACAAAATGATCAAACCCAAGAAGAAAATAGGAGATCCAGAAGGGCTCCAGAATTATTTCAGCCCCTCAGGCAGTATTATAATTTTTTATTTTAATAGTAAAAGTGGTGGTGGCAGATGCTAGCCAGGCTGAAACAATCCTGGAGCTACTTGGAGTCCATTCAATTTTGTGAAGAGAGGGTCCTCTCTCTCCTAGGCTGCTTTTAACCATTCATACTTCTAGTTCCTTCAGCAAGTCCCACTTTCTGAGACAGACTGAAAATCTTTAGAAGAAGGCCATATTACTTGTGAAGACTGTTCTGGCAGCAGAATAGCTTTCTTTCACTTTATATTTTCCCTTATTTGCAACATTTTACTGTAATCTTCAGGGAAATATAAAAGATTATTATAATGAAATAATATATACCTTCCTCTATTGACCTTTTGTATGAGTCATTTTAGAGAAGAATACACATATATAAATACACACATACACAAACATATACATATGTATATACACACACACATATATATACACACACACGTTTTCTTTGGTTTTTGAGCTATTCATGCAAGCATGAACAAAATATAACGTCCTTTGTGTACTCAATGCCAAGAAGGTGGCAAAGAATGTGATTTATATTCTATAGATTCCAAAATACTATATGGCAAATCTTCACAAAACACTCTAGGCTATTTCTATACAACCTAAGTAAAGTGAACAGACACATACTACTTAGTGAATTTAGGTCTGCTCTAATGATAAAGCAGAATTTTCTCTTGCTTCAACAATCTCCACATACAGGTTGGGCTGGCCCAAGTTTCTTGGACAGCTAGTGTTCCATTCCAGTTTGGTGTTAGGTTTGCCAAAATCTGAAGAGACACAGCTTGTTTTCCAGAGAATCTCAATATATTCTCGAATATGCCTGCTATTTTTACATTAATAGTGGTATAAGCAGTTGCTTCTAAAATTCTATTGAACTTGTGAATTATTTGATAAAAGTCCCATAGATGCTATCCTTTGGGTGTGAAAAAGTAGCACTCTTCTAATTGTTAGTTCAGTGAGGCATTCTCTAAACACAAGGCTTTTTGAGTATTTAGGTAAAGAGAGTATTCATGGTCAGATATAGGACCTCTTTATGGAAGTTAGCTTGTGCATGCACAAGATGGAACAAATTTAAAAAGCTTCTGTTGTCTCCATCACGATCTTCTATATGCCATACACACATACAGACAGTAGGGAAAAGAAAATAAATTTTTACATATATGACTTATTTGAGACATAAGATGTTCCAATTTTCCCTAGTAATATTTGAATAGAAGACTAATTAGTGATCTTTACTAAGTTAGATGTTAACTACTGAAATGATGGAATTAGATAAGAACACTAGATTAGAAAACAGAAGAACAGGTTCATGTTTTATTGCTTCTAACTTTATGACCCTGGGCAAATCCAATAATCTTTCTAAGTCTTAGTTTTCTCATCTGTAAAATAGGGATAATTATCATATTGGCTACTTAATACAACTATAAAATAATAAATGTAAATTATACTGGGAACTGTACAAATCTAAGGTATTGTTATGATGATTATGATAGTTATAAGGGAGCAAGTTAATTTTTTTCCTGTGTTAAAACTGAAATTGATTCCTTTCAAAGTAGACTCATAAACTTTGTATTTTCCATTAAAATCAATATAAGATTTTAAAAATGATAGAAACCAAGAACTAACTATATCTTATGAAAAACAAAAAAGATGTTTGCTCCTTCTATTATCAGTTCAGAAAGAAAAGTCTACACAGAACTAGCTGTCTTAAATAGAGGCTAGAACGCATTTCAACTCACACCTGTGCACTATCTACATGCGAACTCACCAGACATGATTGACTGCATCATTTCCATTATAATACATGCAAATGCATTTGCCACATTCTGCAGGAAGTTATTTCTTTCCACTGGAGTACTAAAGACTTTACAGACTTTTTGCATCATTTTAACGGCCCAGTCCATGCAGTATAATTCTTTCTCACACACCTGATTTAGGAAAAACAAGCATTATAATAAACTTGAATGTACAGAAAGCTCTAGAATTTGAAAACGGTAGTGATACCACCTCAGAAACCCAAGGAGGGATCACTATGAGTCGGATTCGACTCGACAGCAGTGTATTGCGTTTTATTGACAATGATGGCTTATGATTTCACATAATTTCTTACACAAGATACCATATTGAATCTATAAAAGAGAAAGCTCTTATAGCTAATTCTCCTTTGCTTTCAAATGGTACAATTTTAGTGGGAAAAGGTGTGAAATAAGTAAAAGCCTGGTTCAAGATGATCACATATTATTATTTATTAATGTAAGAAATATTTTAAATAGTTATTGAACATATGAAAAACAATGCTTCTGTTCATTTGCTCATTCAGTAAATATTCACCGAGTACCTGCTAAGAGATAGTGATACAATGATGAGCCATAAAGTCCGGCCCTCTATTCTCAAGGAGTACAGTGTGAGTCGTAGAGAAATAGGCAATTTCAATCAGCAGAAGAACTCTATCTACATATTACCAACTTTTTATCTTCAGAGTTTTAAAGGATATTTCTCTCTCCATTATTTAAAAGGTAAAGATTTAAAGTAAAGATTACATGTTCATGGTAAAACTGACTAAAAGGTAAAAGATTTATTTACTAACATTCTAAATGGCCAATTTAACTCACATAGTCTATATATGGGGCTCTGGTGGCGCTGTGGTTAAGGCATTGGGCTGCTAACCAGAAGGTTGGTGGTTCTAACCTACAAGTCCTTCCATGGGAGGAAGGTGAGGCAATCTACTTCTATAAAGATTTACAGCCTGGGAAACCCAATGGAGGTTACTATGAGTTGGAATCGACTCAAAGGCAGTGGGTTTAGTCAAACATATATTAGTCATATATAATGCATAGATATAATATAACTAAATATAAAAAATCTGACAAGAAAGATTTATTGAATACCTATTATGTGTAAAGCACTATAGAAGGCAGGATGAAAGAAATGACAGAGTCCTGAATTTCAAAGAACTTGCATATACAATGACTTAAAAACACCATCAGTAAATGAAAGCAAAGAGAAGACAAAAAGCTGAGGCAATTTAGAAAAAAGTAGTGATCAGAGTTGGAATGTTAATCCAAGAAGGGTATCTAGAGAAGGCTTTTCCACTCCTAGTGACTTCCTCTCTGTTCCATTTGCTATACTGCTGCTAAAGTGACTTCCAAAAACACAAGATCGACCATGTTTCTCCCCTTTTTAAATGTTTTAATAGTTTCCTATCAGAGGACAAGTCAAGCTCCACAGAACAGCCTATATGGGCTTCCTTAACTAGCCTCTCCCTCCCTATGCAGCCTTACCTTCTGCTCCTCTCTGCACATTTTATCCTTCAGAAACAATACTGAATTGCTCACCAGTCCCCTGAATACACGCCCTGTCCCACTTCTCTGGGTCTCTGCACATGCTATCCCTGCTGTCCTGAATGATGTGCCATCTGCTTGGTGAACTCCTCCTGTTTGTTTTAAAAAACTAGTATATCTACTGGGATTTAGGAAGCTCTTCCTGTTCTCTTTCTCTAGCCTAGGTATATCCTCCTCTCTGCTACCTCTGTTTGTACCTTTAAAAATATTTTTTTTTCACTTATCTCATTGAATTTCAATTCATTTATATATACCTTGATAACTGTTAAAAGACTGTAAGCAGCCTGTAGTCAGAGACTGTGTGCTATTAATTTCTATAGCCCTAGAATCCCCCACAGTAGACAGTGTACAGCCTATAATAAGCACTTAATATAGTTCTGTTAAATGAATGACTATTAAATATATATTTTAACTTTTTATTTTGAAAAATGTTTTAATTAAAATTGACATTTTAAATTTAATTAAAATTAATTTCTGCAAAAGAGGAGAACAGTATCTTAGTACCTATCTCCCAGCTTCAGGAATCTTGTTTGAGCTCTATCCCCACTCACTTCCACATACACCCACGCTGATTATTTTAAAGCAAATTAAATGGAGTGCTTTTTTAAAGTGGAATTTTTATAAAGAATGCAATTTGGCAGAGCTGTATAATGACAACCTAGACAAGAAGTAGGGACAGAATAATATAAGGAATGCTTCCAAATAGGAGAGTTTATTATATATATTTTAATATTTTGAAAAAGGAACATTAAAATTTTATACTTAAATACTTATTCTGTCAAAATGTTTTGTGCAAATTTCAGTTCCTTCAGGGACACTCCTCCCAGTAGTTGACTGTCATGTTAAACAATATACTAGAAAAAAACGTGTCTTTACTTACCAAAGCCAAAAAGACTATCAGCCTTGCCAGTTCAATGGCTTGTCCATTCACAGCTTTACTAGCCATGAAAGTGAAACAGATGTTGTTCCCACTTAGGATCAGGAGGCGTGCATTATTCTCTAGAAGCCACTCATGGGGAACCACTGTTATTAGAGGAAGAAGAGTTATTCGATGAGAAATCACACAATAGCTATAGTAAACATCATTAAATACATGTAATATTGTATCACTTTATTGGAAATACAATTAGTGCCAAGGGAAAAGCTCAGAAAAAAATGCTTTTGTTTTTCAATTACAGCATTCGACTGGAGATAGAGATCACTGCCATGTCATCATGGCTCTTATAAATGTATTAGAAAAGTCATCAAAGCAATTCTCCTACCTAATGCTATGTAAGGAAAGAAATCTTATAATCTTTAGAAGCTAAAGGATTATTCAGGAATGGGAAAAATTATTTTACCTCTCCTATGCCAACAGGGGGAGCTCTGGTAGCATAGTGGCTAAGGCACTTGACTGCTAACCAGAAGGCTGGCGGTTCAAACCCACCAGCCACTCCTCGGAAGGAAGGTTGGGCAATCCTACTTCCGTAGTGATGATACTGCCTCGGAAACCCAAGGAGGGGTCGCTATGAGTCAGGGCTGACTCGACGGCACATAACAACAACAACAACATGCCAACAGGAGAGGGCTTTCTTTCTTAAATAACCTTGGGGGGTGTTTCTGAAACTTGCAAAATGGGAATAATTAAGCTAATTAAAGTATGAAGCTTTTAAACAGTAATAATACAGATAGATATAAAATTGGTAATTGAAGGAAAATAAGTTGATTATAAGGTCCTCGAGTGCTGTAAATAGTTAATTGCTCAATGGTTTGAACCCATCCAGAGATGCCTCTGAAGAGAGGCCTGGTGAACTGCTTCTGAAAGGTCAGAGCCTTGAAAATCCTATGAAGTAGTTCTGTTCTGCAAACATGGGGTCACATGGGTCACTGTTGTTGTTGTTGTTATGTGCCGTCGAGTCAAACCTGACTCATAGCGACCCCTCCTTGGGTTTCCGAGGCAGTATCACTACGGAAGTAGGATTGCCCAACCTTCCTTCCGAGGAGTGGCTGGTGGGTTTGAACCGCCAGCCTTCTGGTGAGCAGGCAAGTGTCTTAGCCACTATGCTACCAGAGCTCCCACATGGGTCACTAAGAGCTGGAATTGAAACCCTGGCAATGAACAACAAAAGTATGCTGATTATATGCATTCTTTTCAAACTTAAAGCCACACTTTTAAAATATTTTAGAGCAATGAGTGACTTCCAACAGGGAATTCATTTGTTATCTGTAGAATTATGATTATAATTTTATAACTGTATTCTAATAATTTTTTAATTATTATTGTATGTTAGTAAATTTATATTTTTACCTGATAGTTCATCTACAAGACTGATGACATCATCTGCTGTCCACTCTTTAGTGCCTGTGTCATATAGTAACTTAATGGCATCAGCCAAACCTTTTAGACTGGATTCATCTGTAGGTCCTTCTATCATTTTCTGCCAAACCACTTGTCCTGAATGGTAATTGAAATAAAAACTAGGCTATGACAAAATAATTGGCTTTACAATAAAGACTTCATGGATTGTTTTTAAAAAAGGGAACTGGATTAGAAATGGAATTCATTGCTTCTATACTCTACTTTCATAATGGAAGGTCAATTCTGATTGCAATAAATTTTAATGCCTCTTATTGATGTGATGCAGCCCGGCAACAAAAGCTAAATGAAGTAAAAGTAGTTTCACCAAGCAAAACAGTGCTTCTAGTTAAAAAAGTAATGCTATCCTCATACAGAAATTGAAATAAATAATTGATGTAATCTTATTAAAATAAATAAAACTTACTTATATCCTTCCCAAAAGATAGTATGATATATTTGAGGCTCTCCCAACCATTATGTCAGAACAGAGTAATTCAATCCATAGATTTTTCACCTATGACCAATTTTCTTTGTGGATTACACATAGCAACATTTTAATCCTAGGTTGGCTTCCTGTGGCTACCTAGCATATTTAAACCAGCTGCCTCCTAACTTAAGTCAGTGTGAACTAAAGATATGCATGCTGATTCTAACATTAATCCAAGTCAAATTTACTTAGAACAGTAGCAGAGATGTTGGGAATATATTTGGTAATGGCCTATAGCAGAACAGTTCTGCTTTGAAGCTTAAGTCATGCACAAGTCAATGAAGCAAAGATCTTTGAAATCATGAAACAGGTTAGTTAATAGGAATGATGAAATGGAGCAGGTACAAAAGATGTTTCCTTAAGTGACAATAATTAAGCAGTTATATACATCCCTGAAAAATCAGTGCTCACCATCCTGAGGAGATACTGGCCCAAAGATGATATACAGTAATCTTGCCTGATTCACCATAGGCCATGGTTTCAATATAAGAGTTAACCAAAAAGCAGAGTCACTTCGATGTGTCCAGTGATCAAGCAGGACATTCCTACAGAATAGTCTGATCCTTATCTCCAGTTTCCGGGCACTTCCTATGAAGACAGAAATGTAAATTCATCTTCCTAGAAGGACTGATAGACATATACTGATAAGAGCAACTATTAATCACTGTAGTTAATGATCTTAAATGGGAAGTAAACAAAAGATTTATCTGTTCTTAAACTGTCCTAACTTCATAGCTTTGACTGTCTATTTACCCTTACCTTTTTGCTTTATATTGGAGACTTGGAATAAGAGGTCAATCAATAGACATGCTTGTTTGCCAGAATCTTGTAAGATTTTGGATTTTAAAATAAATGCAGAGAAAGGTCAAAGACATACATCTTCAAGGTGTTTTGTATTACTTTATTTTTCGCCAGAAAAATTTTGGATTCTCAAGGGCTTATTTATTCAGTGTTTATTAAGCTTCCCTTGCTGTCTTCATGCATCCACTCTTGCCCCTCTCCTATCCGTCTTGTATCCAACAGCTGGAGATGTCTTCTAAAATGAAAGTCTGAATTCATCACTCACCACTCCCTTACTCTGACCTGGCCACCTTGGTCTTTTGATAGTACCTGGAGCCCTATACAGTGGTTAAAGCACTCAGCTGTTAACTGAAAGGTCAGCAGTTTGAACCCACCACCCACTCCAACGTTCTACTTGAGAAACATGTGGCAGTCTGCTTCTGTAAAGATTTCAGCCTTGGAAACCCTATGGGGCAGTTCTACTCTGTCCTATATGGTCACCATGAATCAGTATGGACTCAATGGCGACAGGCTTGGTGTGTGTGTGTTTTAGTAGAATATCAAACTCTCTTGTGTTTTGGAGTCTCTGTATCATGTATCTTATACCTGAAACCTTGCACTTAAGTTCTTAGGATGGTTGGCTTCTTCTTATCTTCAGGGATCAGCTTAAATGTCACTTCCTCAGAAAGATCTTACCTGACTACCCTAGTTAAAGTTAGCTCTTTTTTGCTCTGGTTTTTATGTAAAGAGCACTTCCTTCACAGCACTTTCCACAACCTGTACTTACTTCATTTATTGTCTTTCTCCCAATTAAAATGCAATCTCCATGAAGAACGGTTCTAGGTCTGTCTTGTTCATAGAGCCTCCACGTGGTCAATCTCAGGAAATCTTTGTTGAATGACTAGGTATACCAGGCACTACTTAGCAGAATGCAGATTATTAAACTTTTATTTTTCCAAAGAATCATGTAGTGAAGAAGTTTAAATCAGTCTTTTTCTTCAAAGAGTGTAATTTTGTTAGGTAGATAAGACAAGAATAAATGAAAAGAATGATCTAAGGTCATATATACATACCCCTGGTGTGTTAAGCCAAGGGACACTGAAAATTAGAAGAGAGATTACTGCAGTCCTAGGGATCAGATAAGGCTCTACGGAGGTGACCAGGCAAACTGGGTATTAAAAGATGAGAAGAGATGGCATTTCAGGAAACAGAGATAGAATGAAAAAAGGTACTGAGTTAGAAACACGTAAGGTGTATTTGAGACACAGTGAGTAGGGCAACATGACTATGTTATACCAATACAGAGAGTTGTTGTTGCTATTGTTATATGCCCTCGAGTCAGACCTGACTCATAGCGACCCCTCCTTGGGTTTCCAAGGT